ACGTAACATGAATTTTTAGTGGACCAGCATGGTTTCATGATTTTCTATAGCTTTTTCCAATAGTATGTGAGTTAGGAGAGAAAGCAGAAGATGGTGAGAGTAATTCAAGATTGAGGCTTGACAGGTCAAGAGCAGTAATACAATAAGGGGCAAAGGACTTGAGAAAAGAGTAAAATTGAACTAGTTCACAAAGGAATCAAGATGGGGAAAGGAACAGAGTATAGCTAGTGTAGGGATAATAGCTTGGGAAAGAACTGACTGAAGGGTTGAAAGATTAAAGGTCATTTTAAGAGTAAAGAACAGAGACTAGGTTGAAAGGCAGAGGGAGAGGTGGAATAACAATAGATTGTGATCAGATAAGGGGATTTCAGAATTTATGTACATGGAAGTGGTGCATTTGTGGGTGATGGTTAGATCAAGGATATTATTTTGATGTTCATATCAAAGCTAGTTTGTGAGCTAGTGAAAGCCAATTTGAAAGGTATGGCCCCAGGCCCTCAGAATGTATGTAGGCTAAGACTTAATATACCTGGAGACAGGGCATCCCCCTCACCCCTAGACATTTACTTACATGGCACAGAGTTAAGTTTCCTGGATTCCTGCCGCTCACTCCTCATTCCTCATCAGACAGTTCAGAAAATACTATCATTCCAATGGTCCGGATCATCCCACTTCTCTCCCATTTTGAACTGTACCCTTTGACCACAGATTCCATTCCTAAATATATGTATTCTATGAAAGTTAAAGGTAATTGAAACTGAATGTTGTAAAATTATAATGACCAAGGTTTGGCACAAAATAAAAAATAAGAAAAGATGCCTTCCTCCGCTTATTGTCAGAGTGTTGTTCCACAGATTTAAAACATTACATATAGGATCCCACTTTTTTAATTGTCCTTTAGTTTTGTTGAAGAATTTTTTTTCTTCTTCCTTTTTTTTGTTCTTTGTTATTTAAGGGAGAGTTCTCTGAGAGAAAAAGTGAAGGAACACAGGGAGAAAAGTATGTGATATAAAAACAAAGACCATCAATAAAAATCTATTTACATTAAAAAAAAATTAAAATGATGGTCATAGGAATCAATAGAATAATTTGTTTAGGACAGGCTTAGTCACACTTTTGTCTTTATATTCTCAGCACATGGCTTAATTCCTGGCACATGAAGTACTAAATACATTTTTATTGATTGATCTTATGATGAAAGTAATTTATGATAATTATAATAGCAATAGCTGATATTTAATCTCTCAAGCTATAAACTACTTTACAGATATCCCATGTGATACATAGAGTATCATTAACTAGAATCAATCAACTGATGTATAAACATTTATTAAATACCTACTACGTGCTTGGTATAGTACTATGCACCAGATATACAAAAAGAGGCAAAAGACAGTCCCTGACCTCAAGGAGTTTTCAATCCACTGGCAGAGACCACATGCAAACAAATATATACAAAGCAGGCTATAAAAAGGATAAATAGTAAGTAGTTAACAAAGGGAAGGCTCTAGAGTTAAGAGGTATTAAGGCTTCCAGTAAGAGATGGGATTTTAGTTGGGATTTAAAGGAAACTATATAATTATGAATATTATTACACTTCTGCCCAAGCTTCAGGCAATTTTCATAGGCACATATCTGAATATCATGTTTTGTCTAGTCAAATAGAGGCATAACTCCTGATTACCAAAAATATCTCTGAGCTAATGACACTGCATAATTGTATAGGGGGCAGATACTTCAGAGGAGTTCAAGAGAGGTAGTGAAGAGAAGTAAGGGCAATTTTATGAATGAGGCACTATTTTTATTTCTCTGGATCTGTATTTATTTGGGGGAAACTTTAACTCCAACATATTCCTTGACTTCCAACACTTGTAAACCTGCTAAGATAGGGCTCTTGCTACCCCCTCTCCCTCTGAAATAATTATCTCTCCTTGAGAGCTAAGATCTCATCTCACTATGCAAGCTCTCATCTCTTCCTGTGTGTTCTTTTGCCTACTCTGTTCTATGTAATTTCCCCTATTTTTGTTTACTGCTTACTTTTATGAAGAGATGTACTGAACTAGCTACTAGCAGCTATTATTTGTGTAATCAGCATTTAGGTAGATAAAGCCAAGATGGTGAGAGTAGTCTGTTACTCCTCCCTTAAGAGCAATAAGAGTTTTATTCTCAACTTCTAGTGTACTCCTAGACTAGAGCTATCTGATGTGTGGTAGATAGGCATAATTTTAGTCAAATACTCCTATTAAAAATAGAAGAATGAAGGAGAGGGAGCAAAGCCAAGATGGAAGAATAGCACAAAGCAATATAGCTCAGTTTCGGTCCACAAAACTGCTCTAAAGAAATCTAGAAAACGCAGCAGACTGAATCCTGATGAGAAAAATCTAAAAAAAAAGAAAAAAGAAAAATCACATTGAATCCGTTTGTCTACCTCAGGTTGGCATAGGGAAATAGACAGAGGACTGCTGACACTGGGGACTGGGTCAGTGTTCAAGAAGAGGCTGTGTACCAAGACGAGAGAAGGTCCCAGGCCTCTAATGGGGCATCCCCAGAATTATTCCAGCATACTTTGATGCAAACAAGTGCCAACTGTGACAGCTTTGTCACCCATCATGCAGTTCTGGGTCACAGGACCAGGAGAGACTGAGAAAGGGACCTGCAAAAAGGGGTAGTATTGCCAGGTAGGGAGGCCTTAGGTGGTATACCAAAACAGGGGGACGTTCAAAAGCAAGCGGCAGTGGTGTGAGTCAGACCGCAGGAGTAAAATAGCATTGAAGTTCCAGCATCTACCCTAGCCTGTGGGGGAATAACCATGTCAGGGATCCCAGAATAAAAAGGAACCTGTAGCTCTGCCACTGAACCAACAGAACTTCCTAGCTAGATGACAGAGCCTGAATACAATAGCATCCCATTGTTGCTCTCACTGAAACTCAGGTCATAAACTTGCAGAGCACAGAGCAGGGGGACAGCAAGCCAACTTTTCCCTGGATCAAACCACTTTAGGCACTGAAAACTTGCCTTTCAAGTGAGATCCTGGAATAACACAATACCCAACACTCCCAAGAAAGCAGCAACAGAAAAAGCCTGGAATTTTCCTCTAGAAGCATGGCAGAGACCAGCCCTAATATCATGTCTGGAGTCAAAAAGCAGGTTGGAAGAAAGAGGAAACAAAGAAAGACCCTACTATTATGGTGGCAAGGATGCTTCAGACACAAACACAGAAGAAGAGAATGACTCCTAGACATCTTACAAGCAAAACCTCAGAGAAATATAGCATGGGCACAAATTCACCTGGAATTCCTAGAAGAGATGAGGCAAGAGTTTAAAAAGAGTGAAAAAAGTTTTTATAAATGAAATGAGAATAAGGAGAAAAATGGAAAAGAAACGAAAGTTATGGAAGAAAAGATTAGAGAGTTAACAGGTTGGAAGATGTACAAAAGCATGCCAAAGCAACAAATTCCCTGAAAATTAGAATGGATCAAATAGAAGCCAATGATTCCATGAGACAATAAGAAAGTTAAAGTCAAAAGACTAAAAATATAGAATAAAATGTAAAGTATCTCATTGCAAAAATAAATGGAATAGAAAACATATGAAAAAGAATTTCTAAATCATTGGACTACCAGAACACTACATTTAAAAGAGCCTCAACATTATATCTCAAGAGATCTTAAAACAGCCCAGATCTCTTGGAATTAGAGGGCAAAGTGGAAATAGAAAGAACCCAATTATCATCTTCTTAAAGAAATCCCAAAACAAGAACTGCCAGGAATATTACAGCCAAAAACCGGAGCTGGCAAGTCAAAGAAAAAGTACTGCAAAGCAGCCAGAAATTAAGAATCAAGTACCAAAGAGCCACAATCAGAATCACCCATGATTTAGCAGCCAACACTAAAAAGAAGCATAAAATTAGGAATATTATATTCCAAAGTGAAGTATATGGGCTTCTAGCCAAGAATAATTTACCCAGCAAAACTGAATATAATTCTACAGTAAAAAAAAAAAGAGCCTTTAATGAAATAGAGGACTTCCACAGAGAAGCACAAGAATGAAGAGAAACACAAATATATAAACATTAATAAACAATGATAATTGGCTAAACAAAGATAAACTGTTTACATTCTAATATAGGGAGATGATACATTTATCCCATCTTAGCCCTGTCATAAACAGGGGTAGTAGAGTAAGTCTAATTAGACAAGGCCTGTGAGTAATAACTGCTATGTCTTGAAGATCTTAGGAGAAGAATGGAAAGATAGAGGAAGACTGGAGCTGGAGAGGAAGAAGGGAAAGGAAGGCTAGGAAAAAATAACTCACATAATTAGCGTGCACAATAGACATCAATACAAACAAGGAGAGGCTGCGGAAGCAACTCCACATTTGGGTGCAGAATTATATTTCATTTCAATGGGGAAATAGAAGGGAAAGGGGATAAGGGGTAGGGAACTGGGAAGGGTAGGTATATTAAAGTAGGAATTTAGTAATAAGTGAAACAAATTAGAAAGGTATAAAAATATTTATAGCTCTTTTGAGGTGGCAAAAATGGGAATCTAAGGGGGTGCCTTAAGGAATCAATAAACAAATTATGGTTTATAAATATGATGGAATATTATTATGTTGTAAGAAATTATAAGAGATGGAACACATGTACGAACTGATACAGAATGAAATGAACAGCATCAGGAGAACAATTTATACAATGACAACAAGGGCAAACAACTTTGAAAGAATTAGGAACTCTTACCAGTGTAAGGACCAACCAGAATTCCAGAGGATTAATGATGCATATTTATGCTACCCACTTCCTGACAGACAGACAAAGGTCTGTAAGTACAGAATGAGACAATTTTTAAAAATTAGCCAATGTGGAAATGTGTTTTGATTGACTAGACATGTTTTTTTATGGGTTTTGGTTTTTTAGTTCTCAATGGGGGTTGGAACATTGGGTAAGAGAGTGACGGTAGATTTTTGCTGACTGAAATTCCAACATGTGTGTGTGTGTGTGTGTGTGTGTGTGTGTGTGTATACTATTTTTTAAATGAGAAAATGAAAGAACTCAGTAATATTCATCTTTAATCTTGCCTGGCCCTTCCCCAATAAATTACTGACATTGCTGACACGGCCCTCCTATTTTCCACAAAGGTGGAAATTTCAATATCCTTTGGAGAAAAGATAGACCAGATCCCAGATCAGGTATCTATTCATATCACATGCAAGCTATCCATATTTACATTACGCAGGTATACTGCATAGGGAAAGGATTTACCAGGCTCTGCCTGGTTTCAGCTGTACAGGACAAGATGCCCCTCCTCAACACTTCTGAACTCAGCACTATGCTTCTAACCCAAGTCTTGGTTGATACCACCTGCTGGAGTGTGGTACACCAGACTCCTCCTAATGCAGAAACTGGACTCTAAGATCATTCCACTTTACAGCTGCTGTTCTGCCTGGTTCGAACTGGAATGAGATGCCCCCCCATGCCATATATCCCCTTGGTGTTGTGTCCCCCTTCCCTTTATCCATTCTTTTGTCTGTTGTCTGCCCCTTTAGATTACAAGCTCCTTTAGGGCAAGGACTACTTTTCTTTTTATTAATTGTATCCCCAGTTCTTAGCACACTGTCTAGCACATAGTAGGCACTTGATAAATGGTTATTGGATTGAATTAGATTTACCATTATGTTTACTGACTAGTGTAGTGGAAGCAATAAATCATATTTACATTCATCATCGTTTGCAATCTTTCTTCACTAATTGACAATATACAATTATCTCTTTGACAATACAAAAATCAACCCTCCTAGGGACAAATCACCAATTTGATTCTTAAAGCTTCCAGTAAATATGCCTAATACTGGTACACAGGACAAAGCTTCCTCTCTGTCAGTCAGAGGTCTTGTGTCTCCTCCCCAGGGTGGCATTCTTGCAAATTCCTTTCAATCACCACTGCTCTCAAGTGAACAGGGAATGCTCAAATTTCCTAGAATGAGAAACACAGAAGTTAGTTTTTTTGAAGCATAGTGATGGCTAGAGTCTCGGGTAGCTTTTTATGGTTCTCATCAATTACCCAAGCGTAAGATCAAAGTAAACCATGAATCAAAGCTTTAGTTTCCTACTATTATTAGCAAACGTTTATCACTGGTTTACCAGAATTGGGAAATGCATGCATTATTATTACCAGATTTGGGGGACACACATAATTACCTAAAAAGACACAAGTACTTAATAAAAAAAAAAAACCAACTTAAATAATTTAAAAATGGAGACTTAAACCAAGTTGGCAAGACTTCATCCCTAGTGTCAGCAGACATCTTATTTACCTCCTGGAACCTCTCTGGGCTGGAAAAATAACTCTCACTTTTTAATCAGATTTTCTGATCAAAATTCAATCTAGTGTATTTTCTAGATCTTTGTGGAGGATGTTTGATGGGAGGCTGGACTTCTTCCTGCTACTCTACCATTTTAATTTTGCCTCGTTGGGATTAACTTTTTACAAAAGGTGACAAAACTATCCAAGGGATCTGACTGGCTCCAGCTTCTTTAGTGTAACTCCCTGGTAACCTAAAGGCAAAAAAAAAAGTCCCAGAAATGGACAATCTGGATCTCTCAGTATCAAGGGAGTGCTTTACACAAAAATGGGCACATAAAAGGCAAAAATGGTAGGGACTTAATAGAAGTGGAAGAGATTAGGAAGAGGTGACAAGGATACACAAAAGAACTATACAAGAAAGATCTTAACATCATAGATAACCGTGATGGTTTGGTTACTGATCTAGAGCCAGACATCCTGGAGAATGAAATCAAATAGGCCTTAGGAAACATTGCTAACAACAAGGTTAGTGGAGGTGACAGAATTCCAGCTGAATTATTTAAAATCCTAAAAGATGTTGTTAAAGTGCTGCACTCAATATGCCAGCAAATTTGGAAGGCTCAACAGTGGCCACCGGATCGGAAAAGGTCTGTTTATATCCCAATCCTAAAAAAAGGCAATGCCAAGAAATGTTCAAATTACTGAACAATTGCACTCATTTCACGCATCAGCAAGGTTATACTTACAATTCTGCAAGGTAGACTTCAGCACTATGTATGAACCAAGAATTGCCAGAAGTACAGGCTGGTTTTTGAAAGGGCAGAGGAACTAGAGACTAAGTTTTCAACTTTCACTGGATTATGGAGAAAGCAAGGGCATTACAGAAAATGTCTCTTTCTGATTCATTGACTATACTAAAGTCAATCTCTTCCAGACTTTTCATGCAGATTGCTCCTATTATTATCCCCATCCTCTCCCTTATTTTTATTCTTGCTCTATCTACTATCTCCTTCCTTAATGCCTACAAATATATCTATGACTCTTCTAACCTACCATCCCTGCTAGCTATTGTCCTATGGTGTGAATCACAACAAAATGTGGCAAGTCCTCAAAGAAATAGGAGTACCAGATCTTGTCTCTTGAGGCCAAGAAGCAAGTTATAACCAATCATGGAACAGTTGAATAGTTTAAGATTGGGGAAAAAAAGTATGACAAGATTAAATATTGTCACCTTATTTATTTAACTTACTTGTAGAGTACATCATGCAAATTGCCAGGCTGGATGAATCAAAAGTCAGAATTAAGGTTGCTGGGAGAAATATCAACAATCTCAGATATGCAGATGATACCAGTCTGCTAGCAGAAAAATGAAGAGGAATTAAGAAGCCTCTTGAAAGAGGAGAATGTAAAAGCTGGCTTGAAGCTTAACACAAAAGAAACACAAACCTAAGATCTTGTCAACTAGTCCCATCACTTCCTGGCAAACAGAAGGAGAAGAAATGGAAGCAGTATCAGATTTTATATTCTTGGGCTCAAACATTACTGCAGACAGCACCTGCAGCCATGAAACTAAAAGATACTTGTTTCTTGGAAGGAAAGCTATGACGATTCTGTACAGCATGCTAAAAAGCAGAGACATCATCTTGCCAACAAAGGTCTGTATGGTCAAAGTTATGGTTTTTCCAATAGTAATGTATGGCTGTGAGAGCTGGAGTATAAGGAAAGTTGAGCCCTACAGAACTGATGCTTTCAAATTGTGATCCTAGAGATGACTTTTCAGAGTCCCTTGGATAAGGAGATTAAATCAGTCAATACTTAAAGAAATTGATTCAGGCTATTCACTAGAAGGTCAAACGCTGAAGCTAAAGCTTAAATAGTTTGGCCACATAATGAGAAAACTGCACTTATTAGAAAAGACCTGATGTTGAGAAAGATTGAAGACAAAAGGAAAAGTGAATGGCTGAGAATAAGACGGATAGATAGTGTCATGGAAACAGTGAACGTGAAATGAACTTGGACAAACTTTGAGAGACAGTAAAGGATAGAAGACCTGGTGTGCTATGGTCCATGAGGTCAAAAAGAGTTGGACAAAACAATGATTAAACAACAAGAAGAAATGTGGTGGTTTTCTTTCTTTTTTTGGTAAGTTTTTAAGTTTATTTTAAACTTAAATACAAAATAAAAGAAAAAAATTGCCATGTACACAGGAGAACATAAGAAAGTATTCAATATAAAACAATAAATTTACATATCAAGAAACCTATATAATAAATACTACACATTGTTTTTAAAGCTGCCCAGCTTTTCTTTGCTTTCTTCTAGGTTTTCTTTTGTTCTATGCTGTGCACTTTTCTCTTTATTTTTTTCCCTCCCCTCCCAAAGAAGGCTACAAACATACACATATATACACATATACACTCATACATATATATGTGAGACTGTATTATGCTTATTTCCACTTGTCATGTTTCTCTGAAGGTAGATAGCATTTTCCTTATACGTCCAAGTATTTCTGTGCTTTTCTAAATCAAGCAGCTCATCATTTCCTACACCACAGCAACATTCCAACCCAATCACATTCTATCTGAGAGATTGTCTATGAATGGTTTTCCCAATTTTCTGTATTGCTTCTATTCTTAGTTCCATTTTATTTATACAAGAAAATTTTAATTTAAAATAATTAAAATTATCCATTTTACACTTCAACAATGCTCTCACCTTATAACATAGTTTAAGAATTTGCTTCCTTTACATATTTTCCCCCTGGTTGTTTTGAAGTTCCTGACCTGTTCTTCCAAATGAATTTTGATACTATTTTTTTTCTGAGTAATATTTTTTTTTGTAATTTTATTGGGATGGCATTACATAAATGGATTAGTTAGGTAAAATTGTCATTTTAAAAGTTATATTGGCTTTACCTACCCATGAAGAATAAATATTACTTCAATTATTTAGATCTGACTTTATTTATATAAAAAGTATTTTGTGTTTATATTAATATAATTCCTGTATCTGTTTTTTGGCAGGTATATTCTCAGGTATTTTATACTATGTAGTTATTTTAAGTGGTCTAAAACAATATTGAATAATGTTGCTGACAGTGTATTTTCCCTATTTTTCTTTTTGATGAAATCTATTTTAGCTTTAACTTTGTCTGAGATCATGATTACTACCACTGCTTTTTTATATAATAAATTCTACTCTTGAACTTTATTTTATCTCTGTGTCTGTATCCTCATTTTTATAGCATTTCTTGAAAGCAACATATTGTTTAATTCAAATTTTAAATCTTCTATCAGTTTCCATTTTATGGGTAAATTCATCCCATTCACATTCTAAGTTATAATTACTTGTATATTGTCCTCCTTCCTATTTTTCCTCACTATCCTTCTTGCCCTATACCTATCTCTCTGTACTCCTCTGCTTTAATTCTACCTGCTACCTTGCCCTCCTATTCATTAATCTACTTAGCCCTCCAAGAGTCCACTCCTTATCCTCTTCCCCTGCCCTACCCTTGGCCTCTTATTTTTTTCAGAATTTAGAAGACTTTTATACCCTTCTAAATATGTATGTGGTTCCCTCTTTAACCCATTCCTGATGAGAGTAAGGTTTCAACACTACACACCCTCCACACTATTAGCTTCTTTTGTATCAGTTTTTTCTTTTACGCCTGATTTGTATGAGATAATTGCTCCTTTTATCTCTCCCTACAGTTTTATTTTTTCTAGAATCACCCCATCTTACTCAGCCCAGCCCAAGCCTTTCTTTCAAACTACCTAAATAAAAATTACAATCATAAAAGAACTGATAATATTTTCACATATCAGAAGTAAACAATTTGACCTTATTGAGCCCCTTATAATTGGTCCTTAATATTTACTTTATATTTCTCCTGGATATTATATGTTGAATTTTCCCTTAAGTTCTGCTGTTTTTGTCACAGTTTGTTAAAATGTCCATTTTTTTTCATTCAGGATTAACTTAACTATGCTGGGTAAGTTACCCTTGGTAACCCTCAGCTATTTTGCTCTATGAAATATAGTATTCAAAGACCTATGGTCCTTCAATGTAGTAGCTGCTAGGTCTTGTGTAATCCTTACTGAAGCTCCATGACATTTAAATTGTTTTTTTTCTTGTTACTTCCAATATTTTCTAATCAAGCTGGGAGCTTTCAAACTTGGCTATGATATTCCTGTAAGTTTGCCTCCTGGGATCTCTTTTAGGTCATGATCAGTGTTTTTTTTTTTCCTTCTATTTCTGCTTTGCCTTCTTGTTCTAGAACTTCAGGGCAATTTTCCTTAATAATTTCTTGTAATATAGTACCAAGATTCTTTTTCAAATTGTAATTTTCAGGTAGTCTAAATAGTCTTACATTATTTCTCCTCAATCTGTTCTCCAGATCAATTGTTCCTCTGATGAGATGTTTCACATTTTCTTCTATTTTTTCATTCTTTTGATTTTGTTTTATTATGTCTTTGTGTCTTATAACGTCATTAGCTTCCCTTTGCCCAATTCTAGTTTTCAAGCAATTATTTTCTTCCTTAAGCTTTTGATTCTCTATTTCAAGTTGATTGACTTTCTTTTCATAATTTTATTGATTTTCTTGGATTGCTCTTTTTTTGCTAATTTTTCCTCAATCTCTCTTATTTGATTTTTTAAAGTCCTTTTTAAGTTCTTCCAATAACTTTTTTGTGCTTGGGACCATTTGTCATTTCTGATAGAAAAAGGAGTGCCCTTTTTTAGCTCCATTATGTTCCTCTAAATATGAACCCAGATCTTTTCAGTTCCAATAGTAGCTACCTATGGTTGGGTTCTTTCTCCTTTGCTTACTCATATTTACTTTTTTTTTTTAAGCAGCTATTAGTACAATCAAATCCAGAGGTTTGGAGAGTGACGCCTCTGAGCTCTGTTCCATGGCTCAACCTTGGGCTCTCCTCTCCACTCCTAAGCCACAGCTAGAGCCCCTGGTCAACCTGTCCCACAAATGACCTTGCTCCCCGCAGTCCTTCCAGTGACTGCAAACTACAGCTGTCTTCTCTGCCCTGAACCTGAAACCAGGGACTCTGCTCTCCTGCAAGTGCCCACCATCAGCAGGGTCCCTGCCCCTCTGTTACTGCACTCACCAGATGTGTGCAAGCTCCTTCTCCCGTGCTGCATCAGCCCAGCCCTGGACATGTCTGGTCAGCACAGCTGTTCTTTGCGTCCCTTGATGGTGGAAGGTCCTTCAATCTTCTACTCAGCCATCAGACCCCCACACTGTTGGTGAAATGAAAGTTTCTAAAGCTGAGGCTGCCTTCCAAGCCCAATTGACCCCAAGACTCACTGTTTGTTGATTCCCACAGAGTTGGCCTGAAGGTGTTTGCACTTCAATCAGGCTGAGTCTCTGCCCAAGGAGATCAGGTCTTTCCTGGCTTCTTTTTAGGTGTCTTAGGAGAACAACTGTTCTACCCTGACTTTTATTTATTTCAGCTGCTCTATATTACCTCTGAGGCAATGTTCTGTCTTTTTCTGTGGAGGAATCTTGGAGGGCAGAAAGTTTTCTGACCTACTCCACCATCTTCCCAGAATCCCTGGTGGATAAGTCACCCTAACCTTCACCCTATTTTTCCCTGATGACTAGTCACATTTCCATGCAGAGATGGGAGAGGAGGGCACTGTATCCTTTGTTGAAAAACAACCTTTTGTTAACAGTTTAATGACTTTAGATTGTCTCTCATTGTCCTCACATTTTGTCCTTACATTGAAACTGAACTGAGAGTGTTGGCATTGGAGTCAAATCCATCACATATAATTTAGGCATCTTTATCTATTATGTATACATCACATCAGTCTCAGATGCAGAGATGACCCTTCTACATGCCATAGTCAACTACTTTTCATGTACTCTTGATCCATTCTCTTCCAGACTTCTTTAGCAGATTGCTCCTATTATTATCCCCATTCTCTTCATTATTCCATTATTCTCTCTCTCTCTCTCTCTCTCTCTCTCTCTCTCTCTCTCTCTCTCTCTCTCTCTCTCTCCTTCCTTGCTGCCTACAAATGCATCTATGACTCTCCTTAAAAATCTTTACTTGATCCTACCATCCCTGCTAGCAATTATCCTATTTGACAAAACTCTCTACACTTAATGCCTCTACTTCCTTTCTTTTCACTCTTCCCTAAACCTTCTACAGCCTTCCATCTAATTCCATCACTCAAATGAAACTTCTCTATTCAATGTTTTCAATGATCTCTTAATTGCTACATTAATGGCTTTTTCTCATGACCTCTCTTATAGGATACAGTATAGTTGATCACTGACTCCTCCTGGATATGATTAATAGATACATAAATACTACAATAAACAGTGGCAGTATACAGGCTTCAGGCTATTCCTTGGCCTACATCCAGGTTCCCACAGAGCCTGGGCTGTCAGAGTTGAGTCATGGATGAAAGGGTGGAGGCCAAAAATCTGGGGAAGGGCCAGGTTGGGCCTCAGCCAGCTTGGTGGAAGGTGGCAGAAGGGCAGGGATCGACCAGCCTTCCTCTACCCACAGCTCCTACTATACCAGAAGATATGCAATAAATATAGCACTTTACCTTGAAAAAGACCTGAAGTTTGTTTGTGGAAGGAGAAATGAAAAATATTTTAACTTGTGAGTAATTGTAAAGTAGTATGGTATTCTGTGTTCTCTCACAGATAAAATGAAGTTTATGTTATGCTCTAATAATTTCCTAATATACTAAACACTTTTTTATTAGAATAACTTCATGTTTTCAAAACAAGAAGTAGAGCTTGTCTTTCTCCTGAAGTACATTCTTACATCAATAACTGCCTACTAGACATCTCAAACTTGGATGTCTTATAGGCATCTCAAACTCAACATGCCCAAGAGAGAACTCAGTATCTTTTCCCCAAAACCTTCTCTTCTTTTTAACTTCTCAAGTTCCCTATAGTATTGAGGGCACCACTATCCTCCCAGTCAGGTAGGCTTGCAACCTCAATGACATCTTCAACTTCTCACTTTCATTCATCTCACATACCTAGTCCTTTGACAAATCTTTTCATTTCTATCTCCACAACTTCTCTTGTATACATTCTCTCCTCTCTCCTCATTCAGTGAGAACTCTGGTTCAGGCCCTTATTACCCCTCACCTGGACTATTGCCACAGCCTTCAAACAGGTCTCCTTGCCTCAAGTGTTTTTTTTTTATTCCATTCTTCCTCTACTCAGCTACCAAGGTGACAATTCTAAAGTATGTTGGACTATAATACCTCTTTATTTGGCATTTAAAGTTTTTTTTTTTATAACCTGACCCTTTACTACCTATCTAGTTTTTTACTCTTGAGCAATGCTGACCTACTTGCAAATTTTCAAACATGAAATTCCTTCTCTTATCTCAGTACTTTTGCACTGACCCCATTAGCTCTGCTTCTTAGTTTTCCTGACTTCCTTCAAGCTTCAAATCAAATTTTACCTAATGCCAGAGGCCTTTTCCTGCTCTCAAGCTGCTAATGTCTTCCACTCTCAGACTGTCTTCCATTTTCTATATACATATCTTATAGGCACCAAATTGTTTATGTGTTCCCTCCCCTATTTGAATGACAACTCCTTGGATTTTGCCTTTCTCTGTATGTCAAGTCTCTGGAACTTAGTAAAACCTTAATAAATGTTTGTTGATTTAACTTAGTAGGTAAGCCTCAGACAGCTCATCAAGGTATATAGAGGGGAAGTGCCCAGAATCATGCAACTAACAAGTTTCAGAGGCAGAATTCAATACCAGGTCTTTATGATTCCAAGCCCAGAACGCTACATACCACACCATGTTGTCTTTCTTGAACAATTATTATGATTATAAAATGGATATTTGCTATGAAATAATAATGAGGAGGATGATAAGGATAATAATAATAGCATTTATATGGCACTTTAAGGTCTGTAAAGTGCTATTACATATGTGTGTATACACACACACATACATACATATATATATAATCGCATTTGATATTCACACAAACCTCCCTCTTTTAGAATTGAACAAATGAAGATTAAGTGGCATGCCCTGGGTCACACAGTTATTAAGTGATTGAGACAGCATTCAAACTCAAGTATTCCTGACTCCAAATCTAGGACTCCACCCATCACACCACCTAGATACCCATTAATAGTGGTAATTTTGATAATAAAATAGACCAATAAATAATTATTAAGCACTTACTATATGCCAGACAGAGTATTAGGCTCTGGGGATATAAGTACAAAGAATGAAACAATTCCTACTTGGAAGGTACTTCTATTCTATTCTATACTTCTTTCCAAAAGCATTTTCAGAAAGCCTAAGAGAGAATACCATAATATTTTTATTTTTAACAAGCTAATATGTCAGGGATATTTTAGAAGGGATTCCAATGGTAGGTAAGGAGTAGAACTGGATGGATTTTAAAACTTATTTATGCTTTTTAGATTCTATAAACTTAAACAATTAAGCAAACACAGGACACTTGCATGGAGGCAAGGCAAAGCAACAAGGATTTATTAATTCCCTACTATGTGTCAGGCACTATACTAAGCATTGGGGATACACATACAAGCAAAAAGAAAGACAGTTTCTGCCCTCAAGGAGTTTACATTCTAATGGGGGAAGACAGCACAAAAAAGGGAGCTAGAAAGTGTGGTGTAGGAGGGTGAAGAAGATGTGAAGATACCCAGCACAGGGGCATGGTGTTGAAGTCTAGAAAGTCAGAAGCATAGCTGGGGGAGATTCCAGGGAGAAAAGCAACAAGGGATGATGGATATTCCAGGGTGAGTAGGCCCCAGAACCTGAAAGAAGTTCTAACATAACAATATAGCAGAGGTATTTGTATCAAAATCCAGAAAGTTAGAAGCACAGCTAGGAAGCCAAATATCTTGTCTCAAGTCTTCAAAAGAATTTTTTTATTATAAACTTGAAACTCATCAAAAACATGAGCATTTCCATATCTAAAGTACAGAGAGGATATAATAGAGAACTGTGAAGCTACCATGTAGAGTTTTGTTTAAAGTATATGCCAAATTTAACATGATTAACAACACTGTTCTGGTCTGTATCTGCTTCTGAGCTTCATTCTGTTATTTTCTGTTTATTTTTACAGCATTTCATTGATTTTTTTTCTTTCTCTTCTTTCATATCACTATCACCATTCCCTCTCTCCTTCTTCATAATATACCTCCCACCCAAATAAAAGCCCTCCCTTTTTAACAAATAAGTGTGGTCAAGCAAAATTTTAAGTCAGGCTCCTTCACTCACCTATGTACAAGAGGAACTTCAGGCTAAATTTATGTCTGTCTTTCCTCTTGAGTATTGTTTGTCTAAAGGCATAATTTTGGGGAAAGTATTCAAAACAAAAGCCACTTCTCTGTTGCTCATAGGGAGGAAGGTAAACATCATTTCAGTCCCAATCACATCACCAATTTAGCCCCTTCCCACTAAATGCTGCCTACCCAATGGACCATCGCAAATAACTAATAACAAATAGGTGCATTTATCCAAGCAAAACAGCAATAAGAAATTGAAATTCTACAGATTAGAATATACCAGAACATATACAAGAGTGAATGACCTCTTTATTGAAAGCAAGATGAGATCTGAGCTAAAATGAAGAGAAAGGCCTTGATTTCACCCAAGGGGAAAGTTTCTGAAGTAGATCAGGGACATGTTAATGTGCTGGTTTCTCCTACAGGTCTGCAGTTTCAAGGTCTTTTTTACACGTCTCTCTCCAGAATAATGTTAAACCAGATGCATCTCTCTCTCTCTCTGGAACCAATACCACCCTTTAAACAATTATTCAGCATCAAGTAGGTGTCATGCCTCCTTCCACAAATGCAGCTGCATACTGGAAGCTTGGATGGAAGCTCAGTTATTTCAATATCCTATGTATCTTAAATATCAGATTTTTAATAAAATCAAAGCAATTTTATGAAAAAAAAAGGAAGTCCCCCATTTGCTTTCTAATTCTGATTTCATTGATCTTCTTTGTACAGAAGTTTTTCAGTCTTATATAATTAAACTCATCCATTTCTTCTCCTGTGACCCTTTTCACACCTTGTTTAGTAATAAAAACTCTTCTATCTATAGTTAATAAAGACATCTCTTTATCCACTCCTATTTATTTGGATATGTCCTTTATGTCTAGGTCAGGTATACATTTGGAGTTCATTGTGGTATATTTTATCAGTCATTGGCCTAAACCTAATTTCTGTCAAACTGCTTTTGAGATTTCTCAGCATTATCAAATAA